TTTAAACGGCAAATGGGGGTTTAGGGGGATACATAATAATAAACCTTTTTATATAAAAAGCAGCAGCAGAAGGAATAGCAGTAGTAACAGCAGCAGCAAGAGGAGAAGCAGCAAGTAGTGTGTGGCGAGGGTTAGGAGCAGCAGCAAGACCCCCAGCAGCAGCAGCTTCTGCTGCTGCTGCTGCTGCAGCAGCAGCAGCAGCAGAAGCAGCAGCAGCAGCAGAAGCAGCAGATGCAGCAGCAACTGTGCTGCTGCTGTATTATGATGCTGCTGGGTTTTGGGGTGTATGTGTATGTGAGGGGGGGGAGGAGCTGCTGGGGTGTTTAGGCAGCTCAGGAGAAGAAGAAAAAAAGAGAAAAAGAGAAAAAATAAAAAAAGAAAATAAAATTAAATATGATAAAACAAATACACAACAAATAGAAAAAAATATTAAAATAAATAAATATACACACACACAGACAAACAGAAAAAAAAACAAAAACAAAAACAAAAACAAAAACAAAAATATAAATAAATATTTTATAAGCAGCAATGAAAAAGAAAGAAAAATAAAAGAAAATAAAAAACACAAAGAAGAAGAAAATATTAAACAAACAACAAACACAATACAACACAAACAAGAAACAAACAAAAAAGAAAAAGAAAAAGAAAAAGAAAAAAACAAAAAAGAAAAAGAAACAGAACAAAAGGAAGAAAAAGAAGAAACAGAAGAAGAAGAAACCGAAAAAGAAAAAGAAATAAAACAAAAACAAAAAGAAGAAAAAGAAAAAGAAAAAGAAAAAAAAGAAGAAGAACAAAAAGAAAAAGAGAAAGAAGAAAAAGAAGAAGAAACAGAAGAAGAAGAAACAGAACAAAAACAAAAAAAACAAAAAAAACAAAAAAAACAAAAAAAAGAAAAAAAACAAAAAAAAGTAATTGGGGTCCCTAAGCTGTTGGCGGTTTCTGTTTCTGTTTCTTTTTTGCCTCCTTCTGAGCCCTGGTTTATATATAATAAAAATATAAATAAAAATATAAA